TGGATGCATGAAGTGAGATGTGTGGAGCAATTTAAATGGTAAATATCCTGGAAAGTTAACAAAGCTAATTTACCAGAGAGACGAGTCCACGCCATGTGAATGTGGAGTTTCCTCCACTCGCTCGAAGCCACCAACAAAGATGTGCACCTCTCATTTTCTTGCTTTTTTTAGTACGTTTTTACTAACATTGTCAGGTTAGTAAACTTTAGACATGGTTTCTGTAAGCCATTTCAGTGTTCAGCTGTTTTACTAATCGATAATTATCGAGGTCAACCAGTGTCCCTTACCACTAAAACGCACAACGCTCCGTCATTGCTTCTCATTCCAGGTACTTTATTGGGACGTCGGTGTCAACGTTTTCGTTCCGGATTCACGAAGAGAGGGAGATCCTCGGATTCGACCCTGCGCAGCACGTACAATCGCTTCTGCGGGGACGCAGAGGACAACTGCGAGCAGCCCACGCGCTGGAAGGTCATCTACTGAGCCAAAGGCGGCAGCACCGCACTTGTTCCACGCGGTTTCGGTGGGTTCTTAGAATTAGCTGAAAGTGCCCTTTATTCAGAATAGGGAATGACTGCGTGCGCTCTATTGAAGGCGACTTGTGGCCCCTTTGAGTTATTAGGGGTGGTGAATGTAAGGCATGTTGTACTGCAGTGATAAGAGAGATGTTAAGTGTCTGTTTTCCTGGTCTGATTGTGTACTTGAACAGAGTTGCCTTTGACATTAGTAGAGGGTTTATGATGCTTCCCTTTGCCAATCAAGTACGGGTCTCCTGTATCTAACCAGTCATTTTCTTATGAAGTTATTGTTTAGAAATAAATAACATCACACTAACGTACTAACTGTTGATACTGTACACGTGGATACTTTTGAAGCTAATGGTGTCATAACTATCTGGGATTGATTTTCTAAGTATAACTAAAAAATAGATGGAATGAAATATACAAGTTAACATCTAAGCGAAGTTCTACTTTCATGAACAAGAAAATAGTTCACTCTAAATCAGTGTTAAAGTGAACCTTGATGGATTTTAAAATTATCTTTTGTTAATTATAAAACTTGCTTTTAATCCAGAATACCAATATTAACCCCAATGTTTACTGAAAAACCTTGACATAACTCTTGAGGCCTAATGTCAACTATATATCCTATTCCTTAATCTGATTGAAATCTACTCCTGTCTGGAGCATTAATGCTCTTCTTGTTTCACACTTTGTTTTATTACAACTAAAATGCATAACATTTCCCTCATGATCACATCTTAACGAATTGAAATAATATATTTTTAATCGTGTCCAATTTAACGAAACTCAACTTGGTTGAATTTAAAAGAGGCATCACATTTATACTTGTTCTCTGTTATTATATACACAGGTTCAAAACTACACTAGTCACACCACAGAGACCGGTCTCATGTGTCACGTGGCGTGTGTGACATTACCAATTCCACGATAACTACTTTGTCGGCATGATAGGTAAACTGATATGAACCCACGAATTCGAGTGGCTGTGTAATGTGGGTTTATCTTCTTGGTTCTTTCGGTAAAGTCACGTAGAAGGGAAGTAATAAAATAATAAAAATAAAACATAATAAAATAAAAGAATATAATATTTTATGACTTCCCTTCTACGTGACTTTACCGAAAGAACCAAGAAGATTAATCCCTGCAGTCACGAAAGCTTTAAATCGAAATTCAATGTGGGTTTGTTATTTTCAAATGCTGTTTGAAATTGTACAGATCACTAATGGCAGGTGACAGATATTTTGTATGTTTTGGACATTTACCTGTTTACAGTTCGTGAACTTTGTTGCAGTGACAATTTCACAGACCTCTATCGATACTCGGTGCTTAGCTGTCTACTCATTGCAAACTCCAGTGATGGTATTAATCTCAGCACTACCTTGATCGCACCTGACTTGTATGTAAACATTGCTATGTATTTGCTGTAATGTGAGACTTTCGTGATATTTTTAAAGACTTGGAATTTACTCTACAATTGTTTGAATATGAATGAAAATAAAATAAAGAATTCTAGACATTTTACTGCTTTGTGTGTGCAATGAGGTGGGTTTTGTGTATTTTATGGTTTCCTCCCACAGTTAAAATAATACACACATTGCACCTGGTATTGGCAAAATATCCCAATGTTGAAAATGTACCTGCAAATTACTCAGTTGAGCTTACACAGCAACAGTCACTCCCTACTTCGAAAACAGGACCCTTCCAAAGAAGAGTCATCACACATTTGTTTCACATCGCTATTTTAGAATAGCGTCATCTATCGTGAACAGAGCGACGTGATCAAAATGTGGCCCAGGTAGGCCATCATTCAGAGGGCCGAAAATCTCAAATGGAAAGAGCTGGCCAGATTTTGGCTGTGCCGTGGATGGGACAGCAAAGGCAAATGAAACTGCGGTGGCCTCTGACGTGTTGCAGGCTCTTGTGTGTGCATGTGGTCAGGTGTTGGTCCTGTTGGAGGACAACTGGCATCTGGATCCATTTTCCGAGTAAGGACATTGATTTATTTTATTCAGTGTCAATACAATTTAACATTTTAGAAGGAGCAATACAACGTTATTGGGCTGTTCCTCGTATATACAACTCCAATGCGTGTTTTTGAGCCTCGGTTTTGTGGTGCATATATCCTCTGCACAAACAGGCATTAAACCCTACTTACAGAGTAAATCCAGTTAGCCAATGGCAATTATGAACTTCCATTAAAATCAGTGTCTTCCTGCCCAAGTGGGCAGTGGCGCTGTCTCTGTTGGCAGCCTGTCCACTGTCGGTGGAAACTACGCTGCCATGCAGAGGGCCCGTCTGCCAAAGTAATGACCAGTCGTGACTTTTGAAAATTATCATCGGCCATGAAGGCAATCTCCACATGCTGTCGCATGCTGTCGCATTCCGTCCTGCTGCCACTCTTTGGTTCGTCTTGCCCTCCGGCCATAGGTCTTTCAAGCGACTTCCTGCACAAGCCCAACTTTTCTTAACATTCATTATGATGCCTATAACTTGCATAGGTTTTCTGATCCCTGTCCCTCTTTGTCTTTCTCAGTCTAATGCAAAGCGTTCATTTTTGCAGCACTTTTTTTTGCATCCTTTTCAGATTTATTATTCCAATTGTCCTTGTCTGTGCCAAAGTTTCGAAATGTACCTCACCAAGTTTCGAAACTTGGCGAGGTATTTACCATCTCCTAGCCACCGTGGCGAGATGGTATATATCAATACCATATACCACCGTACTATATATATGCCTTCACGGGTTTTAACATATAAAGGACAATTTGCTGCCTTAAAAGCAAGTGTGACGCCAATGGGCGGATGTGTATCGGGCCGTGCAATGAACGCCTCGTCCAGCATCACACGCATCACGTGCAACTGTGAGTAATTCCCTGTGACGATGTGCTTTTCCATACCAGTTAAGTCCCTGTTTTCACGTGGATTAAAACAACTGTTTGTTTAAAATTTTACGTAAGTGATATTTAAAACAGGCTTTGTGGACACAGGGTAATTTGATTGGAAATAGGAAGATATATTTTTTTAAACGCATTCAGTGTGTGTGCATATATATTTTTTCATCAATTCATCCTCTGATAATTTGTAATAGAATGTATAAACATTTTGGAACATGACATTTTCTGTTGAAACTTTCCTCTGTCCTTGTTTAGTGGACATGTCAAAAATAATTTCATAGCGTATCGGATTCCCCCAGTATAACTAAATATTAAATTTAAAAAACGGTTGATGCATTTTTAAGGATTCCTAACATTGTACATCTTTGCTCGAGCTCTATATACCATGCTCCCAGGTTTGACGGGATCAAACTTTTCATAATTACATCAATATTAGCAGCTTTTAATTAAAGTTGACTTTATATATAAATTAATATAATAATTGTACAGACATTACCATATTCACAAGTAACATTCACTACATACATATATATTTGAAGCGGATTAACATCTCACGACTAATTTAGAAAGTTACATATTTTCCATTGCGTGCATTATATATGCTGGGTTATGCTGAGTTGAATAAACTTAAAGAAATATTGTTCAGTGTGCAGTTTTTATGGGTTTCTATTTTACTCGTCCTATTTAGCAGATGCATCCAAATTGACGATAACTTCCGATTCGAGATCCCATCTGTCCTCACCTGATTGTCATTGATGTTTTCACTTTTAGATAATACTTTATTAGATTGGGTATGTGTGAAAGAGAAGCAAAGGCATTACAACGCAATAAATTGTCAATATCGATATCGTCCAAATGCCACCGCAATTTTAGATGATTCACACAGCTTAAAACTAAACACCGTGTTAAAAACCAAAAACTTAATAATTCTCTATGAAAACAATCAACAAAATCTAACCAACAAGAACTGTTTTAATACAACCAACTTTTTACAACCCGACATAGAACCCTTGAATAAGTCGGAATTGTTTATCTGAAACGTAAAACGCAAAGTTAACGACCTCTGAATGCATAAGACATATTCGCGTTGCGCGCAGAGGCACGTCAAGTACACATTCAAAGCGCATTACACGCGTATCATGTCTGGGGGGGGGGGCACCGCAAACACAAGTCGATGAAAAAGGCTCCCATTTCAACCGCTAATGCATAGGAAATATACCGACCCGGGCAATCCGTGGCAGCGAAACCCGCCCGAGACGCTTCCTCGCGCCGGGCAAACAGCCTCCAAGGCCCCTTTGGCAGCCGCCAACCAAACCCCCCCCCACCACCACCCCTCTCCACCTCGCACGGGTTGGACGCAAAATGAACGATGAATAAAATAACGCTTCAGTGGTCCATGCTTAATAGAGTCGAGCGACGTTGGTAAACACCGTCGTGGTGCGCGCCTAAGTAACCTGGCGCCGTGCTGCTGCTGCTGAGTGAGGAGGGGAGGGGGGCTCTGGGTCGTGTGGAGCGCCGTTCGTGCGCTGCGTGGCGGCGTCTCTCGCTCTCGTGGCTGTCGTTCGCGTATAAAAGGGCGCTGTCCGGGGCTGATGGGGAGCAGACTGCAAGGAGCGCAGGACCGCGGACCGCTCACTTCCTCGCCACTTCTCCCAACATACACCGAGGGTAAGGCGCTGCTGCAACGGGGTAAAGCGACAATTGTTACTTCTTGGTAACATTTACTGCCAATATGGAACACCCAAGGTATTTGTATGATTTAGGATGTCGGTCTTTGTTGGAAATTAGAACTTTAGAAACTTTTAAAAGATGAGGTTTTTTTTAAACGTTAGCATGTTTTGTTTATTGGTAAATATTTTTGCATTTCTTGCAAAATGTCTGAATTCGCTTTGAACACGGCGTGTTTTGGCCAAATCTCAGTGGTATAAAACGTCGGTCTTTACCGAAAGAACCAAGAATATAATATAAGTGCTCAATCGACGGGAGATTCTCAGGTCACGGGGCTCCCATCATCGAAGTTAACAGCATTATCAATACTAATAGGGTTTTTCCCCTTTTTTCTGGCAACAAAACTGATACCTTTTGCAAGGAATCATGCTTACATTAACCACAATACTTGCAGTCAAATGCAAATAAAAACAATACTCTGATAATTTATGCATTGTCCTTGAAACTGATTGGTCCACACCAGAGACAGCTATCTTTAGAGCCTAGTCTCATGGTGTTCGATCAGATGACGCCAAAAGGCATTTGACTGCAAGTATTGTAGTTAATGTAAGCATGATTCCTTGCAAAAGGTATCAGTTTTGTTGCCAGAAAAAAGGGGAAAACCCCAATAACCTGTGTGCGTGCGTGTGTTTGCTTAACTTGAATGTGTAAGAGGTATAATTCGCTGCAGCTGAAAGTGGTTCATCGTGGCTTAATGGGACCAACTACGTCCATTCACGATAGCCCTTGAATGGCTTGAGCAATCCTGCTAGATAAACCAATGGCCTCCACACATCCTTGTAGCATTGCATTCTATGTTGACTTTTGCAGTTGGGGTCACGAAGAGTGGAGGGCATGTATCAAAGAACTATGAAGAGACACTATGGGCTTCTCGATGGTCAAATATGACATTTTCATTTTTAATATTTGAAATTTCAGAACGGCTCCCACAACATTTGAAAATGAAATTGGGGTCTTCAGCCTTTGAAATCCAAAGCATTGGCAGGATTGTTATTCGCACTTTTTGTTTTATCTTGCTTTGAAATAATTCTCATCGTATCATGAATGTGCAATCCATCGAGAAGGAGCCATTCATTCAGAGTCAACCTGCTGATATGTGGTGAGCAGCCAGAATTTGTGAACATGGAAATAGACAGACTTTGGAGCTCACTCAGCTCTGACTCCCGGAGCATGTGTTCGATTCCTAGTCGTGCACGACCGTACAACATGGTGTCTCACCCTATCAATGGGTCTACCTTAAGTCTATTCTAACTTAAATGAGTGCCTGATTTCGAGCGTGAATATCAACAATGTGGATACACAGGTGGTTGGGCGCAGCGCTGGTCACATATCCTCCTTATGTGTCATGCTGACCTTGATAGATACTCGCTAACAGCACTTGCTAATGTATTATTTTAGCCTAAATGAGGATTGTCATCTTTGTTTGTGTATATATTTACATGCAAATTATGATGCCTATATTACATGGTGCTCATCGTGATATTATTAAACTAACCACATTTCAGTGTAAGCACAGCATTTACAGTCGGGCAGTGCAGATATTTGAGAGTGCAAGAACGCGTGTGCGTGTGTGCTCACACGCAAGTGTGTGTGAGCACCCACTTACGTGTGTGTGTGTCTGTCCACGCGAGCAGATTCCGGAGTGGGTGCGCGGTGGTTAACGCACTGCGCTAAGAACCTGGTGACCCGAGCTTGATTCCCGCTCGCGGCCAACAACAGTGACAATTATCATAACGGGTCCTGGGCCTCCCCTTGGTTGGCTCAGCCTCAAATAAGTACCTGGTGCGGTGTGTAAATATCCCCCCGCTCCCCCCACCTCGGGAGACAAAGGCGGCCGGGCGCGGTGCTGGCCACCCACCCCTCGTGTGCCGTTCCGACCTTGCTAAGTGCTCCTCGCTCTACGGCACTTTCCCCACGAGTATGTTAAGGCTATATGGGGGGGGGGACGTATTTGTCTCTGTGTGCGTGCGAGCAGATGCCGGTCCGCTGCTCCATGTTTGTGCTGCTGGTGGTGTGCACGGTGCTGTGTGCCGGCGCTCTGGCCACCGCCATGCCCCCCAAGCCGGACAACCCCTCCCCAGACGCCTCCCCCGAGGAGCTGTCCAAGTACATGTCGGCTGTGCGCAACTACATCAACCTCATCACCCGCCAGAGGTGCACAAAACGAACCCAAAAAACACAACCAACGAGGTCCCCCCTATGTAGGTAGCCTTAACTGGATGTTGGGGAAAGCGCTGGTAGCGAGCGCCTTAGAAGTGCCGAGAAGTGCCCACGAGGTGCGTAAGAGTTGCCTAAGAGGTGCCTAAGAGGTGCCTAAAAGGTGCCTTAGAAGTGCCGAGAAGTGCCTAAGAGTTGCCTAAAAGGTGCCTTAGAAGTGCCGAGAGTTGCCTAAGAGGTGCCTAAGAGTTGCCTAAGAGATGCCTAAGAGTTGCCTAAGAGGTGCCTAAGAGTTGCCTAAGAGTTGCCTAAGAGGTGCGTAAGAGTTGCCTAAGAGTTGCCTAAGAGTTGCCTAAGAGGTGCCTAAGAGTTGCCTAAGAGGTGCGTAAGAGTTGCCTAAGAGGTGCCTAAGAGTTGCCTAAGAGGTGCCTAAGAGTTACCTAAGAGTTGCCTAAGAGTTGCCTAAGAGTTGCCTAAGAGGTGCCTAAGAGTTGCCTAAGAGGTGCGTAAGAGTTGCCTAAGAGGTGCCTTAGAAGTGCCGAGAAGTGCCTAAGAGGTGCCTAAGAGGTGCCTAAGAGTTGCCTAAGAGGTGCCTAAGAGTTGCCTAAGAGGTGCCGAGAGGTTCGCTCGCACTGCCATCCCCGTCCCTGTGTTCAGACACTCCTTGCTGGGTGATCTTCATCACCCAGCATTCACACGAAGATGTATCCGCGCCTCTGATTAGCCGCGGTCGGCTACGTACGGTGCGAAAGCAGTTCAACATCCACCACATTGTCAATTTTTGGATTAGTAAAAAAAGAAAAAATAGGCCGACGTGCAGGTTATCGATCCGTTTATTTGACACCACATGAAGTGGCATCACTTTTGTGCTTTATCCTTCCAGCGTATCGTTACGTGACGTCACTTTTACAATTAAATCCTGAAAAGAAAAGAAAAATATTCACCATGAAATATTTTTTTTTACTTATGGAGCTTAATGTTGAAACTTGTATTCATGTAGGTAATTTAGAAATGAATTTTCATCTATTATCCGTTTATTGGATAAACAATAACGTTTTTTTACGTTTAGTACATTTCCATTCGAATAAAAAAAAATTCTTAATTTGGGCCTTGAAATATTATGAATCCAGACCCTCGAACATGAAATCCAGAACTCATCGCTGCTGTCGGTACAATACTTACATTTGTTAACAACGCCGCTGCGCTGATAACACTATGTAACACGATTTTTGTCCGTGGGTAGTAAGCGTTATTTTTTATTGCTTATGCCTAAAAAGTATAGAAAATGGCTATTATTCCCCACACACCCATTGTAATACAAAAATATTACGTTTAGAGAATTCAATGGGGGGGAGGGGGGGGGAGATAGAGGGGTCCCAAGACATCTGGACCACCCTGCACCCGCTGTATTGCTTCCTGCATGCCACCTCCGAGCAGGGTTGATGATGGGGGCAGCGATGTGGCCAAGCGGTTGCACGTTCGCCGCTTGTTGCAGAGGTTCGTGGCTGGAATCTGGCAGGCTGCCCTAGTTATTACTTCGGGTGTATTGACCGTAGAAGAAATTCGTGGGCCGCGCGCGTCACGTAGGATGTTCATCATCCCGTGGCATGATTCGCAACGAGCAGGTCATTCGTGTGCTGGCGTCATGATCGAAATTGCGATTACAGTACACATAGCACCATCAGCAGATGAAATCCATCTGTGAAACACTGATCCACTGTTCCTCCGCGATAGCCCCGAAAATACAATTATGGCGTGAATAAATGGACTCAATTATTATTACCGGTTTGTCTCAGTGGGGTCCATCAGCCCGACATTGAGTCCACGAGATTATGCCAAGTGGAAGGTGAAAGTGGATGAAACAGACCGTGGCACAAGTCTAGGTAATTGTGTCATGGTGTTTGAAAAGCAAATGTACACAAGTAAACACCCCTCTGTGACCACTGACCTCCGAGCATTCATTGTGATTCCCAGTGGACTCTCACCTGCTTTAACATTGCGCGGAATGTGACATACTGTGAAATGTGCATGCAATTGAATATACAATGTGTCTATAATAGGGCCTGATGTTGAGGCTGTGTGTCGGTGGTCTCGTAGGTATGGAAAGCGAACCGTGTCAGAGCCGATGCTGCCCGCTTGGCTCTTTGAAGACGCAGCCGAGGACAGACTTGCATACAGGTGGCCTGAAAGACAATCCCATATTTACTTGTGCATTTTACAACTTAAATTCACTCATTTTGAACGAACATTGTTAAGGGCAACAATCCCTGTCACGGGTTGCCACAGTTCAGCTCACAATCATATGACTGCGAGTTCAAATCTTGCTTGGGGGGGTTGACTTAACCCATCATCACCCAGGGGGTCAATAAAGTAGGTAATATTTTGTAAAAATGAAACAGTAGTTTTCTTAATTGGGACTGGCCCCCACCATGGTAATGTGGAATTTCCACCACTGGCTCAAGACCACCAACAGAGATGAGCGTAGATTCACTTTACGTTCCAAGTTAAAGCTCACTAAAAATTTTTAAAAAATGTAATTGAAAATGAACATCACTGTTAAATGCTGGTTAATGGCATAACCACCTGTAAATTACGCAATTTTGGGTATGTGAACATTTTAATCGTTAAAAGTTCTGAAAAATCTCTTGATTTAGAAAATTACTTGCGATGAACTTTTACTTTGGTCCTGAGGCTGTCATGTGTATGAGTTATAATGGCATGTTCTTAGCCGTATACTGTTCATGTTAAGTTGTCCTCGTATCCACCAACTTTTAATGAATAGACTTGTCGGCAGCATCCTGCTTGGACGTTGAGTCGTGTAATGGTCAGTTTGACTCCATCTCCCGATGTGGCAGTTGCAACAAAGGAACAAGTTTCTTAAATGCTTCCCGCCCCTATCCACTAAGCAGCACAACACCGTCGATCGACAGGTCATAATGTGGTGGGGTAAACTGCGGGTACTTAGCCCTCTTCTAAGATGGCAATGGAAGATTGGCCAACTGCCCTTGAAGAGCTGCTCTCTTGAGCACCATCCAAGTAGGGGCCCTTCCACCAGCAGTGCGTGTGAGCCAGGACTTGCAGGGCTGCATCTTGACCTAGCTTGCACGTGACCAGGGGCCTGCTTTGTGCCGCGATTTATTGAGAACCACCACTGTCTTCTTGGTTCTTTCGGTAAAGTCACGTAGAAGGGAAATAATAAAGTAATAAAAATAAAACATAATAAAATATCAATGTTTTATTTGTATTATTTTATTATTTCCCTTCTACGTGACTAAATAATAAAATAAATAAATAGAGCTTTATAACATTATTATGTTTTATTTGTATAATTTTATTATTTCCCTTCTACGTGACTTTACCGAAAGAACCAAGAAGATGAATCCCTGCAGCCACGAAAGCTTTAAATCGAAATTTGACCACCACTGTCTCGTACTCACAACGTGCATTGTGGCTCTTGAAACATCGATTTGTTTTTTTAACCGAATTCGAAAAGAAAAAAACTGGCTGTTATTGTTAGTTTGGTTGCCAACCCCTGAACCTGACTGTTGTTTTCTGCTTCACAGTTAAACAAGATGCCATTCGCAGGGTCTAGTGAGAAGGCACTCCCCTGCAAGAGGACACACCTTTCGAAGACTTCAGACGCTTGGAAACAGCTCCACACATGCCTCACACACACACGGGCAGACTTTTGGATAGAGTTATTTGTTAGCAGCTTATATGTTAATCTGTTTCAAATTTCATATCAGGCTTAATTGTGTCAATAAATGCTTGTGGAAAATCTCATTGCACTACATCGAAGACAATGCTTGCCTTTAACGCAAAGTCTGCTAAGCATGCAAACACAATAACACGCATGCATAGGTAAAGCATTAACATATGTAGTGTATTTCTGTCATCATGATCGGATAATCCTGAGCGAGATACATTTCAGATCTATATACTACAAATCGCAATAACATCACCTAACGCCATATGTTCGGAGACAGTCTGGCCTATTTGAGCATGCATTATGAACAATCATCACCAGGTCTATTCGTTGTTTGTCACCATCAAACTATGGACCGTACACCATTGGAACCTCCTTTGCAGTAGCAAAATATGATAATTGGGTTTTTACCCTTTTATCTGGCAACAAAACTGACACCTTTTTTTATAAGGAGTCATGCGCCTTTTAGCCAGCATCTGGTCCAACACCATGTGAGACTAGGCTCTAAGAAAAGCTGTCTCGGGTGTGGACCAATCAATTTCAAGGACAGTGCATACATTATCAGAGTTGTGTTTTTGTTTGCATTCCGACCGCAGGTATTGTGGTCAATGCAAACATGACTCCTTGTAAAAAAGGTGTCAGTTTTGTTGCCAGATAAAAGGGTAGAAACCCAATTTTCATATGGACCGTATAGTAAAAAACCACTCTGACCTGGAGGAATAGAAACACTACACGAACTCTTTCTCCTGAAGCCCCTGGCGTGGCTACATTGGCATGTAACTCCTGGACATATTGCTGCCATGGGCAAGAACATACTAGAATTAGTAGATAATGGTGTGCTGCGCTGTTTCAATGTACACATTAGCTGTGCTTTTACACACACATAGTGCAACACACAATACAACACCTCGATTCGCAATGCATCATCTCCCATCTCGGTCCGAATCTCTACCCCTTGCCGCTGACGATTGTCTTTTAATGTATTTAATCTTTACTTTAACATAATCTATACTTTACCATAATCTATACTTTAACATAATCTGTATAATAATACCTAGAAGTTACAGTTCTCCTGCACATGAATGTCCTATGGTCTCCTGAGATGTGACGTTGGTTTAATTGAGAGACGACTACCAGCCTGAGCTGTGATGAAACCACACTGGATGGAATCGTTTAATCTTGCCTGGTGTCGGACACTGTTCATTGTTTCACAGTAAATATTCTCCAAAGATTTTGCAATACACGCCTGTTTAAAGTCTGGCCTCTGCTTTGTTTAAAATGTGTCCAAAGAAACGTACAACCTCACGACAACGGTACAAATAGAAGAAACCGGGTGGTGTTAATGGGCATGACTTGCCAGGTGTGAACAGAAATTGTTATTTGTTAGTCTGAATTAAATAGTCACTCAGCATCACCGCATTTAATTTGAAGTCTGCCCTTGTTAAAGTTCCCCGCTTCTAATGCGGTGGTTTTCCATCCCCCAATACGAACCCGCCTGATCAGGTTTATCAATTTATAAACTTGCCGAGCAATGTGAATGTCATTTGAGCCGATGGAAGTTGCTATACTTGATAAGTGAGTCCGAGTCGTTCGCATCTCCCAGTCGCATAGACACGCCCGGTTGATATTGCCATTCAGCGGAGCTTTCAATGGAGTATATTTGATAATTCACATAGGTATGGTGAAATTGGTATGGGTCAGATATGAATTCTTCTACTTGGTATATACAGCTTATATCTTCTACATGTGTAAATTTGACCACTTTTTGGCAGATATAATCAGAGCAATAACAACAATCTGGGTCTAATGTTATAACCGGGTTCGAACTCATCGTGGCGAAAGCGATATTTTTTCAAGCGATGGAAATACACTACGATATATTATATGGAGAGTAAATACGATACAGGATCGAAAACATGTCATAGTCACTCACGTTAAACAACATTCCAATTGGAAACAAAAAATGCTGAAGGAAAACAAATTAAAGTGTGTAATTATACGTGTATAAACAATTCAAAGCCAACATGGAAAATGTAGTGCTCATGTAATGCAGCTTACAAGTGTAACAAAATAACAATGCAACCGAAAATAGCTATCAATTTAACACGCAGCTACATGTTAAGAACGCAGTTCATTAACATAACTTGCATTCATATTGTCAAGAGTATTGACATTGTTTTGACGCCGCAGCGCTTCTTAAACATAAAGCCAACGCTGCTGAGTGTTCAACAAGCGGGTGCTCAATCGGTGTAAATATCCACCCGATAGAGAGCATCATCTAAGCCACGTTTCAGAGCCGATGGTATAAATTAAAGTGAGAAGCCTCCAGCGTTGATCTTTATATGGCAGGGGAGAAAAAGCAATGCTTATTTTCAACAAACAAAAAATATTGGTAAATACAATGGGAGCAGAGTGCCGACCGCAAGCTCAAGTCTTCTTCAACAGCATTGCTATGCATCTTCTTGGTTCTTTCGGCAAAGTCACGTAGAAGGGAAATAATAAAACAATAAAAATAAAACATAATAAATAATTATCACGACGTTTCGGCCACAATGCAAGCAGCCGTCCTCAGGTGAAGAACAGGTCTGTCGGAAAGACAGCGTCTGAATGCTATTCTACATTCACACTTCACGACACGAGATGCACATGTACAGGGTGGTCAGATGTCTTGTGACCCCCACCCCCACCCCATTTAATGCTCTAAAACTTAATATGGTTAAAGGAAGTTTTATTATATTTTTTTAAAGAAGTGAATATGCAAAACATGTTAGGGCTAAAATTATTGGGGGGGGGGGGGGTCACGAGGCATGTGGACCACCCTGTACGGAAATACCCCTCGGCTTACGTCGGGGATGCGTTCCTGAAAGACGCGACGACGTATATCGAAACGACGTCAATCGGAGCGGTTTACAGGGTACAGGGTGGTGGGAGGCGGCAGACGACGTGGGTGCGGGGTGGGGCGACGTATTTATGGGTATTACTGTGTATGTAGATCACGGAGTTCAGAAACAGTTTTCATCGCATTGATTGAGAGTGATGTCACGTTCTCCTCCGCTTAATTCAACGAGTGAAACGCGTTTAGTATACCGTGTGGATTGCTGCCGCGGTGTTAATGGTTTGCACACTGGACGTGCAAGCCAGAGGTGGCCAGTTTGATCTCCCGGCGTGGCAGTTAAAACAATGGTGCAATTACGTTTATTAAATCCTGCCACCTCTGTTCACCCAGCACTATAATTAGTAGACCACAGTAGGTCGGTAGGTGGCGTATGGAGCAGTGGCTTGACCGAGCAATTGCAAGGCTGCGCCTTGACGTTGGATGCTGCATGTTGGTGATGAACCCGACGTGAAACATTGCAGACCCATACGTCTCTTAACGGATGTGTGCGATGATCATTGGTGACAGAATAATAGCAAATGTCGAGGCCAACCAGCTTGCATGAGGGTTTCTCTACCATTGACCACATATATACAAGACTATCAGATTATGGAAAAATACCACTTTTTACCTTGCCTTTGTGGACAATAAAAAAATCCATTTCAATAAGCTGGAAATTGATGCCACTCATCCAAGCTTTCACAAACCAAGTTCGAAACAAACACAATATTTCTATTAAGAAACAATACAAACCATTTACACAAATGGAATAACCACGCTGAGACTGCATGCGTATTTAATGGAATAATACACGAGGCATGCAGAGAATTCCTTTGGGAAAGATGTTTTTTTATTATGTTTAGCTTCTGGTGATTTTACAAAGGTGGTAACATTGTTATTGCGTGCTTTGCCACTAGGTGGTGATATTTCTTCAGTTTCAGACCTCCTGTATTCATACATTGAAGTTTACATCACTAAATTGCCACCTCTGCACGAGCAACATAACAAGCCAACGGTTGAATGATCCGCAATGCGCCTGTCCTCCTCACATCTCGCAAGCTGAGCATGGTCGAGCCTGGATAGGGGTCGCATGCGCAAACATCATGCATAGTAAGCCGTCATAGACGGTGAGGCTACATTGTGCACAACGACCTGCAAAGACATTTACACAGCATGGGAAAATATATTACGTTTGGATATAGCACAACAAACAATCAATTATTATTTGGTTCTTTCGGTTAAGTCACGTCTAAAGATAAAATAATAAATTAAATTAAATAATAGCATACGATGTTTCGATTGCAACACAAGCAATCATCATCAGGTATAATGCTTGATTGCTTGTGTTGCAATCGAAACGTCGTATGCTATTATTTAATTTAATTTATTATTTTATCTTTAGACGTGACTTAACCGAAACAACCAAATAATAATTCCTGCAGTCACGAAAGTTCTAAAATTAAAAACAATCAATTGTCTACCCGTTAATTACCGTAAACCGGTGAATACAGAAAACACATGTTGTTCATGTACACATTTCGCCAAAAAAGTCTTGCAGAGATATCTTTACACAGAAATATTTTTACACGCAATAAAAAATAAAATATTTTACTGTGTATAACACACGCAGTATTTTGATTAGAAATTAATATGTATATGTAACACGCAGTAAATATATATTCGTTTTTCTAAATCTACCACAGCACGTGTCCTCGACGAGTTCACACACGACGGGGAAAGTGCCGCGTGGGATCGCGACCGGGGCGACGGTTCTCCATCCGGGCACGATGGGGGCGCTGAGTTTCTACTCAACTGGACTATCCGCGTGTTGCACAGCACTGCCATTGGAGTTCCTAATTAATTTCGCTATCCGATGACAAGTCGGTAGGAGCAACTCCATTTACCAATACCCCTGTTTCTCAAAGCTGCGTCGGCAGGTCTGCAGAGCGGGTAACACTGTGGGGATTCTAGATTTGAAGTTTCGTGACTGCAAAAATTCATACTCTTAGGTTTTTTCGGTAAAGTCACGTAGGTAAAATAACTAATAAAAATAAATAATAAAAATAATATAAATAAAATATTCATTATTTTATTCCTATTATTATTTCTATTATTTATTTTTATTATTTATTTTTACCTACGTGACTTTGCCGAAAAAACCTAAGAGTATGAACACTTCGATTTAAAGCTTTCGTGACTGCAGGGATTCATCTTCTTGGTTCTTTCGGTAAAGTCACGTAGAAGGGAAGTAATATTATTTTATTACTTCCCTTCTACGTGACTTTACCGAAAGAACCAAGAAGAGGTATGAACACTGTGGGGAAACCATCACCATTGGGTCCCTCCTCCCAGCGGCCTCGTCGGACTCCACTGAGCATCGCTCAAAGCCACATTCACTCTGGAATCTCTTGACCTCGCCTCCCATGAATCACTTGAACCCTTCCCCATCCCCTGCGTAAATCGAACACTTCTACAAATCTCCAAACCACTTTAACGCAATTTGAATGCCTCGCATTGTACGCCCGCTGGCGTCTCTTGTATTCTCGACGGGGGTGTGGTGGGGAGGGGGGTGACCCATGAATCTCTGCTACCGACAGCCCAGAGGTCGCAAACGGGTTTTGATTCCTTACCCGGACCCGTACCCGGCCGCACCAGGGTCGCAAATGGGTACCCGTACCCTACCCGATACCCGGCTACCCGTACCCGGCCGAGTATCGGGTAGGGTATGGGTACCCGATTGCGACCTCTGGGATGAAGCCATGTTGCAGGCGCGGGTGGGTTGATTCTAGGAACTTGAATTGTGAGAAGAGACAAGACGTTGGGAAATGAGTGACAAATGGTGACTCACCAGTGACTCACGGCCTACCCGTACCCGTACTCGGCCGCACCAGGGTCGCAAATGGGTACCCATACCCGGCTGGGTACGGGTAGCCGGGTATCGGGTAGGGTACAGGTATCGGGTACCCGATTGCGACCTCTGCGACAGCCCGACTCGGTGTCGACGGGCGGCTCCTGTGCCGAGTTGGCTCCGTGTCGCTGGCATCTCGGCGAGCCACCGGCGAGCAACACGTGAGACCGTTTGTGTTTTTGGCACAAACGAGGATAACAGAAGAGGGTACAAAAAGGGGGCACAAACAGTTAAAGTGTTATGCCGATAAATAAAAACAACATCGTAATTTCAATGAAGTGTAATAAAGGTTTTTGGGTAAGATCGCGTGAGTATAAATGTGTCGTAGCCCTCCACCAGCCGACAGCCACTTAGCAAGGGATTTGTCACGTAAACAAAACGCCAATTAGTTACTACATCAGCCCATCGGTGTGTTTGTGAGTAAATTCACAACATTTACAATTTTAATACGGCGAAGTTTCGCTGCTAATTACATCA